AGGCCTTTAATGGGGAAAAGAAGGAATGTTATAGAGACAACAATGGGTGCTAGGGAGCCTTCCATAGGTTCCTACTGTGTGCAGGTGCTGGGAACATAACTATGAACAAAATAGACAGTGCCTCCCTCATGGGGCTGTCTGGTTGGCAGGCAGTGACCAAGTGAATGGATATTGTTGTTAAGTGCAGTTGAGTCGGTTCCAAGTCATAGTGAACCTGTATAGGGTTTCTGAGTCTGTAAATCTTTGTGGGAGCAGGAATCCTCGTCTTTCTCCTATGGAGTGGCTGGTGGGCTTGAACTACTGACCTTGTGGTTATCTTATAAAGTCCAGTGCTTATCTTATAAAGCACTGTCTCCCAATGAGTGGATATTATTGTTGTTACGTGCTGTCAAGTTGGTTCTGACTCATAGCGACCCTGTATAGGGTTTCCAAAGAGCAACTGGTGGGCTTGAACCACTGACCTTGCGGCTCAAACTGACCTTGCAATCCTGCAGCACTACACCAGGACTCCAGTGAATGGATAAGCAGGATATTTACAGACAGGGATTCTGGGAGAAGGTGACATTTGAGCCAAGACCTGGGCAGAGACCAGGGAAGACAGATAGCCCCCAGGCAGAGGTAACTCCACATGGGAAGGCCCCATGGTAGGAACTGACTTTTAAAATCTTATGTGGCTTTTGTGGTGTAAGAAGATTCACTAAGTGCAGGAATGGCAGGGGCTGAGGTAGGGAGGTTAACTGGAGCAGGATCTGAGCAGGAGATGGTAGGTCTTTGCCAGTAGGAGGCAGGGACTTCCGTTTAGCAGGAAAGTAAACTAAGGCACAGGACTAGAGTGTGTAGCCCAGGGGCATCCTGGGTGGGAATGGCAAACCAAGTCTGATTCTGAGTCTTACCCTTGTGTTTGGGGGACAGCTGAGCCAGTTTTGCCAAGAGGACCTGGAGACAAAGTTTGGGGCACTGCCAGAGAACCCCATTCCTCAGCTGTCTCACTCGCCACCAGAGGGCAACAGAGCCACATTAAAGAAATGAATCCTGTTCCAAGTAACCTAGATCCATCCTTGTGCTCTCCTGAGGCCCCCACCTTTGCAGCCTCCAGCCTCCACTCCCACCTCCCCTTTGCATTCTCTTCGTCATCTGTGGCTTCCTGGTTATTGTCGTCTTCCTGGTTATTCCTTCAAAATGCAAGTTGGCCTGGCCTCCGGGTCTTTTCCCATGCTGCATCGCTGCCTGGAGCTCTTCTTTTTTCATCTGCTCACCCGCCTGGTCTCTGTTGTTTGTTGAAAAACTTTTCCCTTACCACCCATTCCCCGCAAGCCCCTTCAGTCCTCAGTGATACTCATTTGTACCCTATGTTCACTCCCCTCTTCTGGCTTCCCTCCCTACTACCCCATCATGGATATGAGTTCACATCTTCTCCAGTGATTGTTGTTCAGTAATTGTTCAGTCAGTTCTGACTCATAGTGACCCTGTATAGGGTTTCCAAGAATGGCTAGTGGGATTGAACTTCCAACCTTGTGATTAACAGTCCAGTGCTTATCCTACAGACAGCAAAGCCGTTTGAACTGCAAGGTGGGCAGTTCAAGCTCACCAGCTGATCCTCAGAAACCCTATACAGGATTGCTATGGGTCAGAATCGATCCACTGCACTTAACAGTAACAGCAGCAACATGTAATGGGTTAGAAGTCAGTGAGTCCGGTGGTCTGGGTAAATGCGAGGCAGCTGGAGAGGCACAAAGTGAGGACAAGGGCTCTGCCTTTCATTGAAGAAATTATGAGTTGGGCCCTCTAGGCCAGAGGTGGTATGGAAAGGCTGTTCCTGGCAGAAACCAACCACATCGGGGCCTCAAACACCCAGGGCAGGATTTTTGATTTTCTCCTGAGGAAGGACAAAAGTTGCAGTCCTGACAGGGAATGTGGGGCTAGGAAGCCTGTGAATGGTACTTCCGGAGGTGGGAAGGACTGGGAGGGTCTGACCTGACCAGGAGCTGTGAGTGGGGTTCTGTACACTCCCCTGGGGCTTTGCGGTTTACCTGATCTTTAGCATGGGGAAAGGCAGAGCCAGAATCTGAGTCCTTGGTGAGGCATTCATCCAGGAGTGTGTCTTTATAAGCGCACTGAGGAGCCATGGAGGGTGACTGAGCAGAGGAAGGGAACTAGTTAGTCAGTGGTCTGCTTCACTAACCCCCCACCCCCACCCCATCACAGGCCCTCTGGGTTGTGTTGTTTTGCACTCGGGGAAACAGGCCAGATGGATGTGGGCGAAGCAGTTGCTGGGGACACCCGGGCTGTGGGTGTGATGGGGGAATGTGGGTAGTGCTGATGGTTGGGGGTGTGAGAGCAGCGCCTTTACTGCAATGCATGCAGAGGTGTGTCCCCACATATGTGAGCAGGGGCGGGGGTGGCTCGTGGGCATGAGCGTGTGTGTCAGCAGGTGGTAACATATCAGACCCTAGTTCTGTCCCCGCTTGGGCCCTCATGCTTGCAGGCGTTGCAAACTCAAGAACAACCTTAGAAATCTTGATTCCGGCAGACCTGCTGTCTGCACCCTGCATCCCCTTCTCCTCCTTGCCCTCCATGAAGTCATCAGTGACTCCTCCTGAACCTAATCCTTTATCTCATCCTCAGCATCCAGAATCGACCCTTTTATTTCACAGCCCCCCCAGGCTTTCATGTCCCCCTCCCAGATGCTGTCCCAGACCCTTCCTGACCTCCTGCCACCCTCCACTCCTCACCTTTACAGTCCTGTTCCTCATGGCTGACATGGGGGAGCTTAACGGACATTAACCAGATCACAAGCTCCCTTACACTCCTCCCATAGCTCCCCATTGCTCTTACAACAAAACAACCTTCCTCCTACAGCCTTTCAGGCCTATGTGGTTGGCAGGCTGGCATCTCCCCAACAGTCCTGCCTCAGGGCCTTTGCACAGGCTGTGCTGTCTCTCTGGAACACTTTTTCTATAGTCATTCCCTCTTCCTCCTCAGTGTCTTAGCTGCAGTATTGCCTCCTCACAGAGGTTTCCTTGCTCATCACCTCTCATGAGCCACCGTTATCCTTCCCCTTTTATTTCCTCAATGTCAGCATTTGAAATTATCTGTTCATTTAATTGTTTCTTTTTACTTTTGCCTCCCCCACCATACTGTCAGGAATTTTGTTTTTTTTAACTGTTTATTGTGAATTGAGTGAGGTTTACAGAGCAGATCATCAGTTTTATATTCTACAAGTCATACACTTTGGTTCATTATAGTGATTACAGTCCCCTCTGTGTACCATCAGTTGAGGGCAGGGATTGTGTCTCCTGGCTTGTGCTGGGATGCCAGGGCCAAGCTCAGTGCCTGGCAGAAAGTAGGTACTTAAATGTTTGTTGAGTAAATTAATAGCCCAGTATAGGTCTTCGAGCCTGGGATCTTAAGTCAGGTGCTCATAGGGGAGATACTCCGAAGGTGTCAGGGCCTATAGTACTAGGGCACTAAGCAGTAGAACTGGGCATGGAGGAGACAGGAGGGTCTGGAGGAGTAATGCTAGATGGGGGAGGAGTTAATAGTTCCAACCCACCCAGTAGTGCCATAGAAGACCTGGCAATCTGCTCTATCACGATTGCTGTTAAGAGCCATCCAGTTGGTTCTGGTGTAAGATTTCCAATGAATTTGAACCATCGACCTGGTGGTTCCAACAGATTTTACAGCCCAGTGCATTAGCCCACAGTGCTATACTAGGACTCCCTGGAGTCCCATAAAGATTACAGCCAAGAAAATCCTATGGACCTTCTATTCTGTGATGCATGGGGTCCCTGTTAGCCAGAATCCACTGGCGGGCAAAAGTTTTTTGTTTTTTGAATTTTTGTGTAATTCATGTCAGCGCATAACAAGATGAGGAGATGGAGGCTAAAGATGTTCAGTAATGGGCCTTGCATTGATCTGATTCTCAATTAGCCAGGCTGAGGCCCTTTCTCATCACACAAGGGCAAGATGCCCCAATTCAGTTTACCAACCCCCTCCAGTGCTAGGGCATACTGGGACCTCCAAGGAGGAGCCCCAAGACTGGGGATGACAGAGACAACAGACCCTTCCAGCCCCGAGGGGTTAGGGTTAAAGTTTGGGTTCAGGTGGATGGACAGTCTGGCTTATACGAAGAGAATCAGGTGGGGGACACTTTATTTTGTCAAGCAGTATAGCGGCGTAGTGGTTACGAATAGGGCTATGAACCGCAAGGTCAGCGGTTCGAAACTACCAGCTGCCCCTGCGGGAGAAAGATGAGGCTTTCTGCTCCCGTAAAGATTTACAGCTTCAGAAACCTTGTTCAGGGTCGCTATGGGTACTCGAAGGCATTTAACAACAACAAAGGACCTTCCAGAGTGAGGAATGATCTGTGTTGTGCTGTAGGATAAGCACTCAATCATAAAGTCAGTTAGAATCGCCGCTCCTTGGAAACCCTATATAGGGTGACTCCATAACACTTAGCAACAAGGCCTAGGTGGGTCTTGAGCGCTGTACTCAGAGAAGATTAGCGCTTGGTGGGGGGTGGGAGGAACGGAGAGGAGGGTGTGATAGGATTTACATTTTGATAGTTGAAAGCCCGCCCAACGTTGAGGTGCTGCCAACGCCACACCCCCGCTGCATGGGGCCTAGGCAACTGCCCGCCCCTGCCGCCCCGCGGCCTTGGCAACGCTCCACCCTCACTGTCCTCCGCCCCGCCCCTCCACCCGCGGCCATGGCAACGCCCCGCCCCCCGACTGACACGTGGTTCTTGCAGGTCCTTCCCCTGTTAGGCCCCGCCCCCACGCTCTCTGGGCCCGTTTTTTTTGGCCGCGCTCCGGGCGCGCGCTTCCTCCTCCTCTCCCCACCCGATCCCCCCCTCCCTCTTGCCCCCGGTCGCTCGCCGCCCCCTCCCCATCCTAGGGCCCTGCTGCGGGGCCGAGCCAGCAGACCGAGGTTCCGGATCGATGCCTTGACCCGCTCAAACCTCCTGGACCTTGGACAGCAGTAGCACAAAGGGAAGCGGCATGTCCGACCCCAGCTACTGGACGGCGGTAGCGGCGCCTGGCCACCGGAGCCGCCTGGCCAAGGGTGCGCTGCTGCAGCGCTCCAAGAGGTAGGGGGACGGCTGCGGGAGCACTAGTGTGTCCCCATGGCGGGCGGAGATCTGACGACCAGCGTGCGTGGCGGCTGGAGAAGGGGAGTCCCAGGCACTCTCCTTTTGCATCTTCCGTCCCCCTGAACGGTGTCTATAGGGTGTCTCCGGGTGCAGGAGTGGAACTGGAGAGGCAAAAACGACATGAGACTGAGTCAGGATTTGAACCTAGGTCTCTAGCACTGGGAAGAAACAGGGACGAGGTTCTTGGAAAAACTGAGGCTGGTCTGCCGGGGGTGGAGAGGGTGGGCACAGTCAGCGGAAATGTTGGTTCAGAAGCAAATATTTGTAGCACGAGGCTGCTATGGGGTGAGTACTAGGAGCCCAATGACTGTATTTGATCCAGGCCTCTCTTAGCCTCAATTTTGCCATCTGAACGGCAAAGAGGCTAAGATGGAGAGCTGCGGAACCTGGGTTCAAATTCCATCCCAGCTGTTCCCTGGCTATATGGTCGCAGGCAGTGCCTCAGCCTCTCTATCTATCCTTACTTTTTTCATTGATGCTGATGTACAGGGATAAGCCCCTCAGCCTCTAAAAATCAAAAACAAAACAAGGCAATTGGGCTTTCTGGATCAAGAACACAGGTCTGATGATGGGGCTAGCTTCCAAAGAGCCTAGAATTCTAAGTTCAGATGCTGAGGAGCCACAGAGGATATGTGGACAAGTCAGGGTGGGGTGAAGGATTCTGGCTACAGACCCTGCTTCCTGTATTCTCACTCTGTCTTGTGTCCTCAGTACCACAGCGGTAGTTATTCAATGCCCAAGCCCAGGACTCACCTCAGAGAGGGCAGAAAACAGCCATCGTTTTCTGCTTGGAGAGTGAATGGCTAAGGCTCAGTTCCCCTTCCACCCCTCAGCTATAGCTGTGTTTTCAAGAAAATCCCACCTGAGAGCCAGAGGAAGAGCAACCAGTTTTTTTCCCAAATGATTTTGGAAGCAACAGGGTTGTGATATGCAGCATTGAAACAAGGGGCCTGGTGAGGATGTAGAGGATTCGTGGTGTGTGTGTGTGTATGGGGGGGCAGGAAGTTTTGCAGGAAGCTTCAGGTTTCACTTTTGCTTCTTTTGCACCTCAGGCCGGAGGACAGATCTGTGTCTGTTAACATCTGAGGGACTCACTTTCCCCAGCTGAGAAATGGGTATAGCTGCTCTGCCCCTCCCACTTTTATAGCCTATTAAAATTGGCACCTGTTTGTGGCTTCTTTCTCTGAGGAAGCAACTGAATTTTCTGTCTTCTGTGGTGGTGGCAGTATTGTGCCATGGAGTCGGTTCAGACTCATAGCCACCCTGCATAGGGTTTCTGAGGCTGCAAATCTTTACTGGAGTTGTTGTTGTTGTTATGTGCCATGGAGTCGGTTCTGACTCATAGCAACCCTGTACAGGGTTTCTGAGGCTGTAAATTGTTACGGGAGCAGAAAGCCTCATCTTTCTCCCATGGAACACCTGGTAGTTTCGAACTGCTGACTGTGAGGTTAGCAGCCTGATTCATAACCACTACGCTACCAGAGCTCCTTTTACTGCAGTAGAAAGCCTCATCTTTCTCCCATGGACTGATCGGTAGCTTCAAACTGCTCACCTTGAGGTTAGCAGCCTGACTTATAACCACTACAGTACCAGAACTCCTTACTGTGTATGCCTACCCACCATGTTTCCAGGGCCAGTAAGTCCTTCCTTGGGAAGCACACATGATTAAGTGCTCAACAATACACAAAAGGTTGGCAGGTTAAACCTACCTATGGCACCATGGAAGAAAGGTCTGGCAGTCTATTCTGTAAAGATTGCAGGCAAGAAAATCCTGTAGAGCTCAGTTCCACTCTGGATGTAACACATGGGGTTGCCATGAGTTGGAATTGGCTCACTGGAAGTGGGTTTGGTTTGGGTTTTTAGGCCCTGAGCTGAGCACAACTCTGCTGGTGTATGAGTGCATTGAAGTGTCCCTCCACCCCTCAGAGTCTGTTGATGTTAGTTTCTGACTCATGATGATCCCATCTGTCCAAGTAGAAATGCTCCGTAGGGTTTTCAAGGCTGTGAGCTTTTGGAAATAGATTGCTAAGTCTTTCTTCTGAGGCATCTCTGGTGGTAGTTATGTGCCGTGGAGTCAGTTCCAACTCACAGCAACCCTGTACAGGGTTTCCAAGGCTGTAAATCTTTACGGGAGCAGAAACTCTCATCTTTCTCCCACGGAACAGCTGGTAGTTTCGAACTGCTGACCCTGAGGTTCACAGCCCGATTCGTAGCCACTATGCTCCCAGCGCTCCTTGAGGCATCTCTAGGTGGGTTCAAACCACCAGCCTTTTGACTGGTAGTCAAGTACTTGAGCACTTGCACCACCCAGGGATTCCCTCTCTTGAGATCTGTGGATGGAGAAACTGAGCCTCACGCAAGCACACCTTCCTCCTCCCTCACCTTTCCAGCTGTGTCCCCATGTGTTTGGTGACTGACCACTCTTCCCTTGCTCTTGGTCAGCTCTACATCTTCCTCCTTTCCTGTTCCTGGGGCCCTGGGGCCTGGTCTTGCCCTCCCTGCATGGCTCTCCCGCTGTGTAGAGCTGTGCTGTGTAGAGCTGCGTTGGCGGCTCAGGCTGTGTGGGCTGATGCACTTGTCAAGCGAGTGAGCAAGCAGTCGTTGCCGGGTAACTGCGCTGGGGTGTATGTGTGTGTGGGGGGGGGGGCGGTGCTGGATGGTGTTTCTTCGACTTCCCTCTGTCAGAGTGAGGGCCAAGGAGAGTGGCCTGGGCAGGGAGTCTGGTCAGGAGCTGGGTGCAGGGAGGGAAATTAGGTGGCAAAAGTTAGAAGGGTTAGATAAGCATGGAAGGTCCATAAGTGGCATTAACAGTTTGTATTCAACTGCGAACGTAAAGGTTGGTGGTTCGAACCCATCCAGTGCCATGTCAGGAGATAGACCTGGTGGTCTGTTTCTGTAAAGATGATAGTCAAGGAAGCCATATAGAGCAGCTCTACTTTGTAATGCCTAGGGTCACGAGGAGTCAGAATCTATTCAAGAACAAGTGTTCTCTTAAAGGGGCAGTGTTAATTGTTGTTAAGTGCTGTCAAGTTGGTTCTGACTCATAGTGACCCTCTATAGGGTTCCTGAGAAGCGGCTGGTGAATTTGAACTGCCAACCCTGAGGTTCAAACCTACCTTCTGGTCCTGTGTATTATCCTGCAGCACAACACAGGCAATGAGGGGCTGCAGAGAGGCTTGGGTGGGGGTCCCTGGGAATGGGTGAATGGAATGGAACTGGAAGGAGTTATTTCTGTCTACCTGTGGGTTCTGCACTCTTCACCTTCTGCCTAGGAACAATTCTCCAGTGCGCCTGATGGTATGCGATTATGAACACGGCAGCAGAGACTGGGCCAGGGGCTCCTGGCCGTATTTAGTACTACTCCCCTCCTCCACTCCCCGCTAATAACAATCACATTGTGGGTTCAGTGGTAGAATTCTTGCCATCTATGAGGGAGACTTGGGCTCGATTGCTGGCCAATGCACCCTATTCACAGCCACCACATGTCCATCACTGGAGATTTGCCTATTGCTATGATACCAAACAGGTTTCAGCAAAGCTTCCGGACTGAGACAGACTAGGAAGAAAGGCCTGGCTGTCGACTTCTAAAACTCAGCCATTTGAAACCCTTTGGATCACAACGGTTTGGTCTAAAGCTGATCAATCATGAGAATGGCACCGGACTGGGCAGCATTTCCTTCCGTTGAGCCATGGGCTCACCAGAAGTCAGAGCACCAACAATAATATTTGTAATAGGTCTTGTTTGTCTAGAGGCTGTGTGGAGCCCATCTGCTGGGCAGACTGGGTGAGGTGGGGCTGCACATGGGTTGTGGGCTAGACATTTGGAACTTTGAGCCCCAGTCTTGGACCAGCCCCTGATTATTCTCCCTACACAACACAGCTGCCGGAGCGGAAACCGCAAAAGCCTAGTAGTGGGAACACCCTCACCGACCCTCTCCCGGCCTCTGTCGCCGCTGTCTGTCCCAACGGGTGAGTTCAAGGATGTCAGACAGGTGGGTGTGGCATCCTGCCTTCAACCTCCTGACTCTGTTCCCTTGCCTTATGCACAGCAGGCAGCAGTCCCCTGGACAGTCCCCGGAATTTCTGTGCCACGTCCGCTGTCAACTTCCCCTTTGCCCGGAGGTACGTAGTGGCCAACCTTGGGGAAAGGGGGTGGGAGCCCAGCTGGTAAGGGAACCTGCAAGGGTCCGTGATAGGTGACTGGACCCACCTTCTCATTCCCCTTCTCCCCTCCCCTGGTCCCCGCCCGGCCGTCTCTCCCTCCGGTTTCTGCCCTGGCAAACACTTGATCACCTGCAGTCACCTCTCACGTACCGACAGGTAATTTTTCCCAGCTTCTGGGGAGGCCAAGGAGGGAAGCTTGGGTCAACTCAAGTATCATTTCTTTACCCAAATCCACTCAATCATTCAACAAGACTCTGTTTGTGTACTTAACTAGGTACCAGCACTTACATTTTACTCACTTACTCAAAGACGTCCACTGCGTGCCTGCCATATGCCATGTCCTGTCTTGGGGCTGAGTACACAACTGTAACTGAGGCTAAATGTAGACCCTCAGGGACTCCTGGGGCAGTCAACAGAACCAACCCGAGAGGTCACAGCGTTGATGGGGGACAGGGACACGATGGAAGGCTGGCTGGAAGAGCATTCTGACTTACAGTCCTCTCTGCAGCTTTTTCAGATGCCACCAGCCTTCTTCTGCTTCAGTGTCTACCATTAATCCGTACAAACCACAGTATCTATGCTTCCTTCTGACTTTTCTCCTTCCCTCTCCAGGGCAGACGGCAGAAGATGGTCTCTTGCATCCCTGCCATCGTCCGGCTATGGAACCAACACACCCAGCTCCACCGTCTCGGTACCTGCTACCCCACCTTGACAGGGTGGACAGGTGGTAGAGTGGAGACTACCCTCAGCCCTGAGGAATCCCCAGGCTGGGAGACATAGTTATCCCCAGCCTATGAAGTCAAGGCCTGGCCAAAGGGGGGCTTGGGGCTGCCAAGAGGGAGCAGGCAAGGGAGAATTGGAGCTAGGGGTAAAGGATGCATAGGAGTCAGGCAGGAGGAAGTATGCTAGTGTCTGAGGATCTGACACGTAACCTAGGTCTTGCAGGACAGAGCAGAAGTGAAGATGGTAGACATGGAAGGCTTATTGGAGAAGGGGGACATTGGAGCTGAGGTTTTGAGGGATACATAGGAAGCTGACAGGAGGAAGTGTGTGACTGTGTGAGGATTGGCAGGCAGACTGGGCCTTGCAGGGAAGAGCAGGGGGTCTGGCTGTAATACTGACTCCGTGCACCTGTGGTCCTTACCCCCAGTCCAGCTCATCCTCCCGGGAGCGCCTTCACCAGTTGCCCTTTCAGCCTACACCAGACGAGCTGCGCTTCCTGTCCAAGCACTTCCGCAGCTCCGAGAGTGTGGCTGACGAGGAAGCTGGCCGCTCTCCCCGCCTACGCCCACGCTCCCGCAGCCTCAGGTGGACTTGGACTGCTTGACAATCCCCCACCCCTCCCAGGGTTAGTCTCAGGCCCCAAGTCCTGAGCCAAACTTTCCGTCTCTAGCCCGGGCCGTACATCTGGGACCTTCGACAATGAGATCGTCATGATGAACCATGTGTACCGGGAGAGGTTCCCCAAGGTGGGTAGCGCTGGGTGGGTAGGCTGGCCCCATCTGTGTCCCCCATCTGTCCATTCTGTCTTTCCCTGTCTCTGTCTCAAATACCTTACATGTAATATTGTCCCCTCCTCCTCTGACACTCATGCCTCATCTGCCCTTCATTTTGCCTCCCTGATACTGTGCCTCTCCTGCCTCTGTCTGTCTGCATTGCTCCCCAGTCCTGTCATTTGATGGTGACACACCTATCCACTCCACTCAGGCCACAGCACAGATGGAGGGTCGCCTACAGGAGTTCCTGGCAGCCTTTGCACCTGGTGCCCGGCTGGCATTGGCTGACGGTGTGCTGGGCTTCATCCACCACCAGATTGTTGAGCTGGCCCGTGACTGCCTGGCCAAGTCGGGCGAGGCACTTGTCACTTCCCGCTATTTCCTGGAGATGCAGGAGAAATTGGAGCGCTTGCTTCTAGATGTGCGTGTGGGGGAAAGGGTCCCAGGCGGGTAGGGCAGAGGCAGACACCTGTAAGTAACACCACCTTTTACCTGCCCACAGGCTCATGAACGCTCGGACAGTGAGGAGGTTGGCTTCGTGGTCCAGCTTGTGCGGAAGCTGCTAATCATCATCTCTCGGCCAGCACGGCTGCTTGAGTGCCTGGTAAGGCTGTTGGCATGTGACTGGGTGGGGTGCCCAGTGGTCCTGCTATGTCAACACCGTAAGATCCTTGAGCTGACTCTTCACAGAGAACTTTGAGATGGTCACAGGATGCTGCCAGGCTGGAAGTGGTTTCCTGGAGGTGGGGCAGGGGGAACAGTATGTACACAGAGGGAACAGCATGTACAAAGACTCAGACAAAGGGAACAGCATGTGTAGAGAGTTGAGACCCAGACAGAGGGAATAGCATGCACTTAGAAGGAACAGCATCTGCAGGGAAGTGAGATGTAGTCAGGGAACAGCATGTGTAAGGGGCCAGTGGCCTGACTGACCAACCCCCTTGTGCCCTTAGGAGTTTGACCCAGAGGAATTTTACCACCTGCTGGAGGCGGCTGAGGGCCAAGCGCGTGAAGGCCATGGCATCAAGACCGACCTGCCCCAGTATATCATCGGGCAGCTTGGTCTGACTAAGGACCCTCTTGAAGGTGCGCCAGGTGGGAACAGTATGGGGTCACTTTCCAGAGAGGTGGGGATGGAGCCTCCACAGCCTTGCACACTGTCCTTCTTGTCTGTGCCCCGGCCCTCAGCCACCTCAGCAAAATGGCCAGGCGCCTGACCTGCCTGATTCTAAGTTCCTAATGGAACTCGGCATCCTTAAACACCAAGTGAAGAGGAGCTGGATGCTGTGACAACCGTTGTTGTTAAGTGCCATCAAGTCAGTTCCAGCCCATATGTAAGGAGTTTCCAAGGGGCAACTGGTGAACTTGAACTGCCGACCTTGCGGTCCAGTGCATTAACCCACAACACCATACCAGAACTCCGTAACATCCATTAGCTGTTCACAGACCTCATTTCGCTGGCCCAGGAGGGGACTCAGAGTTAGATGGTGCATTAATAACTTCTTTTATAGAAATCAAAACAAGCTTAGTCCCTGTGAGTTCAAAGTTAAAGATATCCCAATTGTTTGAGTTTTGCTATGTGGTATGCCCCTCCCTAGTCCTTGATAACAATCACCACTTCTCCCTTCCCTCAAGCCCAGGGTTCTTAAACACACTGCAACATCCTACAAAGCATAGAATTGTCCAAAGAAACGGTTCATGCAATTGTGGAGGCTCACAAGTCCCAAATCCATAGTTCCAAGATCAGTCTGGCGGAATCTTCTCACCTACATAGTCTCAGGAGCTGAGGGACCCAAATCAACAGGTCAGATGACAAGTTGTTGATGCAGGAGCTAGTGAGTCAGGTCAGGTGATGGGCCAAAGGTCCCACAAACTGGAGGTCAGATGTCATGAGCCATAGGCAAGATCCAGGGCAAGATAGCAAGCTTTTCCAAAGCAGTCTTATAAACCGGAGTCAGACCATGCCCCCAAGAGAAACTAAGGGTGGTAGCTTGAGTCACACCCGCTACTGAGGTGGGGGAATTCTAAACATTTAGATCCACTGTAACCTTTATTCTTTAACCCCACCTTAATCTTGACTCCTTAGCAACTGTTTTCAGAATGGGTCCATCATTTACAGGCATGGAGGCTGTGATTTACAATATATCCCGAAATGGGAACATTGGACTAGAAGGGCCATTATCAATAATTAGCTGCCCTGCAAATGGAGAAAAGTCATGGACAAGAGAAACCTGGCCAAAGATTATCTGAAATGGCCAGACTAGGGGAGCCAAGGCGAGGGGACCAGCTAGGAGAATATCAAGCATGGACTGGGGTGACCAGGAGATGTCTGGGAGGAAGTGTGCCGAGCGCGAGGAGAAGGTAACCTGGTGCCGACCTAGGGGAGAAGGTGAATCAGGCCGAGGAGCAGCACATGCAAAGGCCTTGTGTGGGATCATGCTTGGCGGGCTTTGGGGCTGAAGTAGAGGAAGAAGGAGTTGAGGGAGTCCATGGCATGTGTCTATCAGTTTGTCCTACTGTGGTGGCTTGTGTGTTGCTGTGATGCCGGAAGCTATGCCACCAGTATTTAAATACCAACAGGGTCCCCTGTGGTGAGCAGGTTTCAGTGAAGCGTCCTGACTTCAGACAAACAGGCAGATTACTCTTAATGTTTAGCCTCTGAAAACCTCGTGTGAATAGCAGCAGAGCATTGTCAGGTATCGTGCCAGAAGACGAAACACTATGAATAGCACCAGGAGATTGTCAGATACAGGCCTGAAAGCCCAGCCCCTCAGGTTGGAAAGCACTCTAAATACTAAGGAAGAGCTGCCTCCTCAAAGTAGAGTTGATCATGATGACACAAGTGGAGTAAGGATTTGGGGGCCTTCATATGCCAAAAATGAGAAACAGCTGCAAACATCCAGTAATCCAGAGATGAAATGGAACACATAAAGATGAATATACTAGGCATTAGTTAGCTGAAATGGACTGGTATTGACTTTTTTGAATCTGATAATCATGTGGTTTATTATGCCGGGAAAAAATTCAAAAGGAATGGTGTTGCCTTTATTGTCAAAAAGAACACTTCAAGATCTATCTTGAAGTGCAACACTGTCTGTGATAGGATAATATCCATACACCTACAAGGAAGACCAATTAATACTGGTCTTCAAATTTACACACCAACCCCAAAAGCCAGTGATGATGAAATTGAAAAATTTTTTGCCAACTTCTTCAATCTGAAATGGATCAAACATGCAATCAAGATTTATTGTTAATTACTGGTAATTGCAGTGCAGAGGTTGGAAACAAAGAGGAAGGATCAGTAGTTGGAAAATATGGCCTTGCTGATAGAAATCATACTGGCAATCACATGACAGAATCTTGCAAGACCATTCAGTGACTTATTTATTCACTGCAAATACCTTTTTAAACAACATTAAGGTAACTATACGTATAGCCCTTACCAGATGAAATACAAAGGAATCATATTGACTATATCTGTGGGTAAAGACATATCATCAGCCAAAGCAAGACCAAGAGCAAACTGGAACAGACAGACCCATCAATTGCTCATAGGCCAGTTCAGGCTACAGCTGAAGAACATTAAAACAACTCCACAAAAGCCAATATGTGACCTTGAACATATCCTACCTGAATTTAGAGAACAGATTGGATGCATTAGGCCCTAATGACCGAAGACCAGAAGAGCTGTGGGATGACATCAAGAACATTGTGCAGCAAGAAAGCAAAAGGTCGTGAAAAAGACAGGAAAGAAAGAAAGATAAAAATGGTTGTCAGAAGTGACTCTGAAAGTTGCTCTCCAGTAAAGAAATACTAAAGCAACTGCAACTGGAAGAAATGAGGAATTAAAAGAACTGAGCAGAAAAATTAGAAGGGGAGCTCAGGAAGACAAAATATGATAGTGAAAGTATATATTATACAGTGAAAGTATTAAAATGAAATGTGAAAAGCCCTGAAATTAGAAAACCAAAAGGGAAGAACACGCTCAGCTTTTCTCTAACTAAAAAAATGGAAAAAAATAAAAATAAGTGAAACCTTAACTTGTAATATTGAAGGGTAAGGAGCTCTGGTAGCGTAGTGGTTACGAGTCGGGCTGCCAACCTCAAGGTCAGCAGTTTGAAACTACCAGCAGTTCTGTAGGAGAAAGATGAGGCTTTCTGCTCCCATAAAGATTTACAGCCTCAGAAACCCTGTGCAGGGTCACTATGAGTTGGAACCGACTCCATGGTACTTACCAACAACAAATGGGCAAAAGAACTTCTGGTGTGGCGCTGTAGGGTAAGCACTGTACTTTGAACCACAAGGTTGGCAGTTCAGACCCACCAGCTGCTCCTTGGAAGCCCTATAAAGGCTCACTCTGAGTTCAGAACCGACTTGATGATACTTAACAACAACAATGGGCAAAATATTGAATGATACAGAAAGTATCAAAAGAAGATGGAAGAAATACACAAAGTCATTGTACCAAATCATGCTCAACCATTTCAAGAGGTAACATATGATCAAGAACTGTTAGTACTGAAGGAAGAAGTCTAGTCTGTACTGCGAAGGCATTGGCAAAAAACAAGGCTCCAGGAATTGACCAATAGAGTTTTTTTAACAAACTGACGCAGCGCTGGAGGTGCTTACCTATCTATGCCAAGAAATTTAGAGGAAAGCTACCTGGCCAAACGTTATTTGTACCCATTCCAAAGAGAATTGACGCAACAGAATGCAGAATTCATCAAATAATATCATGTGCAAGTAAAATTTTGCTAAAGATAATTTTTAAGTGGCTGTTAACAGTACGTTGACAGGGAACTGCCAAAGGTTCAAGCCGAATTCAGAAGAGGACATAGAATGAGGGATATTGTTACTGACGTCAGACGGATTTTGGCTGAAAACAGAATACCAGAAAGATGTTTGTTGTTGTTGTTAAATGCCGTCAAGTGAGTTCCAACTCATAACGACCCTGTATAGGGTTTCTGAGGAGCAGCTGGTAGGTTTGAACTGCCAACCTTGTTGTGGTCCACAGTCCAGTGCTGACCCTACAGCACCACATCAGAAATCCGAAAAATATTGCTTGTGCTTTATTGACTATGCAAAGGCTTTCAACTGTGTGGCTCATAACAAGTATAGATATTCCAGAACACTTAATTGTGCTCAGGAGAAACCTGTACATAGACCCAGAGGCAGTAGTTAGAACAGAATAAGGGTACACTGAATGGTTTAAAGTCAGGAAAGGGGTACGCCAGGGTTGTATCCTTTCACCATGCTTATTCCATCTGTATGCTGAGCAAATAATCTAAGAACATGGATTGTATGAAGAAGAACATGTCATTAGAATTGGAGAGTCATTAACAAACCTGCAATTTATAAATGATACAACCTTGCTTGCTGAAAGTGAAGAGGACTTAAAACACTTACTGATGAAGATCCAAGACTACAGTATGGAGTATACCTCAATATAAAGAAAACGAAAATCCTCACAACTGGACCAGTAAATAATAAATAATGGAGAAAAGATTAAAGTTGTTAGAGACTTCATTTTGTTTGGATCCACAGTTAACACTCATTGAAGCAACAGTAAAGAGATCAAACAACGTATTGGACTAGGCAAATCTGCTGCACAAGACCTCTTTAAAGTGATCAAGAGCAAAGATAACAGTTTGAGGACTAAGTTGCATCTGACCCAAGCCATGGTACTTTCAGTCACCTCATACCCATGTGAAAGTTGCATAAGGAAGTCTGTAAAGAATTGATGCATTTGAGTTATGGTGCTAGAGAAGATTAAAAGTACCATGGGCTGCCAGAAGAGCAAGCAAATCTGGTCTGGAAGAAGTACAGCCAGCCAGAATGCTCCTTTGAAGCCAGGATGTCGAGACTTCATCTCTCATACTTTGGACATCTCATTGTTGTTGTTGTTGTTATGTGCCGTGGAGTCGGTTCCGACTCATAGCGACCCTGTACAGTTGTTTCCAAGGCTGTAGATCTTTACGGGAGCAGAAAGCCTCATCTTTTTCCCACGGAACAGCTGGTAGTTTCAAACTGCTGACCTTGCGGCTCGCAGCCCGATTTGTAACCACTACGCTACCAGAGCTCCTTGGACATGGTCTTAGGAGGGACCAGTCCCTGGAGAAGTTCATCAAGCTTGATAAAATGGAGGGTAGGAAAAAAGAAGAAGATCCCAATTAGATGGGTTAACACAGAGGCAGCAGCTGTAGTCTCCAGCATAACAGCAACAGTGAGGATGGTGCAGGACTGGGCAGTGTTTCTGTAGGGTCACTATGAGTTAGAACGAACTCAGCTGCAGCTAACAACAACAACAGGGCATTGACAGTGGCCAGACACACTGCAGTTATAACATGTTAGTGTGATGTGTGAAATCCCAGGATGGGGGGCTGTTGAACCTTTAAAGCTGAGGAAACAGGCTCTGACCAGACAAGATTGAGCAGGGATTAAAACCCATGTGTGCCTGAGGTCAGATTGTGTGTGGACAACCTAAGTGGCTACTGGATAGAATGTGGGCAGCCCGTGTAGGTTAATCTAGCTGGAGAGGAGGCAGGAAGTGGCTGCGTGGACAATAGCTGAAGTTTCCAGGCCAGAGTCCAAGACTGGGAAAGGGCTAGATTTGAACCTGACTCCCTTGTCTGCCAGTCTCCACTTCCCTGTCCCATCCTTGCTCTGTGGCCATAAGACACTACGTGGTTGCCAGCATGACTCACATCCTTCCACTAGGCCCTGGGGGATGGGAAAGAATAAGACTGCCCTGCGCTGAGCCCCAAGCTGAGCAGGACTTTAGGAACTGACACCCAGAGGGCCTACATCAAAGGACCAAGACCCAGAGCCAGGATTTAATCAGAGCTGAGCAATGTTCCTTCTAGAAGGTTCTTCAGGTACTGCTTAGTCCAGCATCCTGGAGTTTGTCAAAGAACTGGGTGTATATAAGAGCTGGGGGGCGGGGCACAGTGCCCCCAACCCAGTATGGGTCCAAGGCCTCAGGGCATCTCTGGGTGATGGGCAGTGTGACTCCGGAAAGGGTGGTGAGCATTCCCTTGCCTTGCAGAGATGGTGCCACTGAGTCACCTCGACAGTGGACAGATCCCCACACCAGAGTCTCCAGAGGTGAGTCTCAAAACTTACGGGTCCCTGCCCATCTTGACCTCCCCAGGGTACACCAGGGCTCCACTGGATCCTAGTTTACCAAAGTTTTGCACATAGCCAGAAATGAATAAAATGTGGTGACTTTGGAAGGAGTGGCAGTTAAGTAGAACCACCCAGAGGGGGTGGATAAGGACAGGACTGGAGGGCACACTGGGAAGCTGAGTTCTGAAGGATGTGTAAGAGTTTGCTGGGAGGAAGGGCACAGTTTGAGCAAAAACTCAGACACTCATGTGGTTTGGACCGAGGAGGCAGTGTTAGGTGCTGGCTCAGCAGTCTGGTCTGGCTAAAGGGAGCGCTAGGAGCGGGAAGTGAGCTTTTGAAAGATGTATTGGGAATGTACGGGAAAGAAGGGCACAGCTTGAGTAAAAGCTCAGATACTCAGAAGCAGAGTGTGAGCCGTTTGGAAAGGGAGGAAGTAGTGTTAGGCCTCAGGATCAGTGGTTTGGACTAGGGGCCAGGGGGACCTAAGTAGCAACTGCAGTGGAACAGGACACTGAGCCCCTGCTGCTACCCCCCACAGAGCCGGGCCCTGGTCTGCCCATCTCGGAGGAAGCCATGTGAGAGTGATTTTGAGACTATCAAGCTCATCAGCAATGGGGCCTATGGGTGAGTCCCTGGGTCTACCAGAGACCCATTTCTTTGATGCCTATGGGGATGACTGAGACTCAGGTAGACCCTGTGTCAGCTCTCACCCTAGCAGCGCTTGCTCATTTAGCTCTCAGAGTGGTGGTGGTGATGGTGGTGGTGTGCCGTTGAGTTGGTTCCGACTCATAGTGACCCTGTGTAGGGTTTCCGAGGTTTTAAATCTTTACAGGAACAGAAAGCTTCAACTTTCTCCCGTGGAACAACTGGTAGTTTCGAACTGCTGACCTGAGGTTAGCAGCCTAATTCGTAACCACTACACTACCAGAGCTCCTTTATCTCTCAGAGTTCAGAGGGGAAATTGAGACCTCTGCAGTACTGACAGGTTCCATCCACGATTCACGTCTTAACCCACCCCATATACGTGGGAGCAAGGGTGGGGGCAGCTTATACCTGTGGGAAGAAGGGCCAGGTAAAGAGAGAGAGTTTCCTGGGTGGAGGGACAACTTAAGCAAAGCCTGGGAAGTGGGGCGCTGGGTCCAGACTCAGCCCCACCGCTCACCCCTGGCTCCCTGCAGTGCCGTCTACCTGGTCCGCCATCGTGATACGAGGCAGCGGTTTGCCATCAAAAAGATCAACAAGCAAAACCTGATCCTACGTAACCAGATCCAGCAAGTGTTTGTGGAGCGTGACATCCTCACCTTTGCAGAGAACCCCTTCGTGGTCAGCATGTTCTGCTCCTTTGAGACGCGGCGTCACCTCTGTATGGTCATGGAGTACGTGGAAGGTGCGGCACTTACTTATGTGCCTCTGGAGGTGGGACGCTCTTTCCCTAACTTCTTCGGACCAAGCTAGGGTCTGCTGCTCTGTCCATTTTGGGGTTGCAGACCTGCAGTGTGGGATCCTCCGGAGCCCCCAGTCGGGCAGGACAAGGAGTGGCCTAAAAGAGCTGTGTATGGGTAGGACCCCGGGAGACCAGGCAGGAGGACTGGTTCAGACAAGGGATTCCAAGGGCAGAGGTTCAAAGGGGCAAAGTGAGAATTTGGGGAGATGTGGTAGAATATCCAGGAAGGTTGGTGGCCAGGGCTCGGTGTTGTGAAGTCAGATTTCAGGAAAATTTGAGACTGGGTTCAGCCAGCAGGAACACGATGCAGGCAGGCTGCTCCCTGGCCAATTATCCTGACTCCGACAGATGAAAACACTGTTCACCAGGCTGAAGGGTCTGCAGGTTTCACAGGACAGGGACAAAGGTCTAGCCCAGAGGCCCCCATGAGCTTATCCCACGTCTCTCCCCAGGTGGTGACTGCGCCACGCTGCTGAAAAACATGGGGCCGCTACCCGTGGACATGGCCCGCATGTACTTTGCCGAGACGGTGCTGGCACTCGAGTATCTGCACAACTATGGCATCGTGCACCGCGACCTCAAGCCAGACAAGTGAGCCTGCTTGGTGGGGTGAGGCCTCGCTGGAAAGGGGACCTGAGAAAGGGGCGGAGCCTGGGTGGACTGTGTCTAGATCTGAAGCTACAGGAGTGCGGCTTGGTTGATCAGGGTGGACGGGGCCTGAGCTAAGAGTGGAGCTTTTGAGTGGGCGGGGCCTGGGGTAGAGTTAGGGGAGCTCTGGGGTGTGGTGTTGGAGTGGGTGGGTTTTATGACAGCTGAGGCCCGTACTTGGTGGATCTGGAGAGGGTCTCTGAGGTAAAAGGGCCTGGAGTAGTTGGGGGTGAGGTCATAGGCTGGCTGGGGAGGTAAGGTGAGGAGGTGGGAGGTTAGGTCAGAGCTGACTGTGACCCAAGCCTTCTGATATCATGGGGCCTCTGCTGGGTACAGAGACAGGAAATGCGCATGTGTTGAGCCCCTGGTATGTCCGGAGGAGAGATGAGCAAGCATTTACAGGCCCTGTGTATGCAGATGCAGGGGAGGGAGAGTACACTCATGGAGCTGCTGGCAGGCAAGGGGAGGGAATGTGCACTTAGGAAGCACCAGCTGTATTCAGGGGATGGGTTCATACACTGTGCCTTGTAAGTGGAGGATGTGTGTACTTAAGAGGCACCTGCTGGATACAGGAAACCGGGCACATTTCACAAGCCCTCCTTGTGTGGGAGGAAAGGGACAGGACAGGTTTTGAGCACCTGCTGTGTGTGAGTGCAGAGAACAAGGGAAAACCACATTTACTGAGAGCCAGGGACATGAATTTTATTCTAGCATTCAGTAAGCAAGGCGCTACGGTTTAGACGTGCAGCTGTTAACCACAAGGTCGGCGGTTCAAACCCACCAACCACTGTGAGAGAGAGTGATGTGGCTGTCCGCCCCGCTAGAGACTTATCTCGGAAACCCTGTGTAGGGTTACTGTGAGTCAGAAGCACTTCAATGGAAGGGGGTATTGTGCTTTCATTTTAAGTAGCAGGTGGACCCAGGAGGTGTACATGGAAATGTGCCTTTATAAAGATGATGTATTCGATTTTGTCACTTATAAAACAAATACTTTTTAAGTTCTCAACAGCAGTGTGCATTGATGGTTTAAAACACATGTGCAGAAATACTTCTTTATACAGCAGGCACCCAAGCTATGTCCATTTTCCAACAGGGAAGGTCAATAATAGGTGGTTCCGAAGTGTTTAGTTTGTTAAACTAATGACTGCATGTGCTAGATGTACTCAGACATACTGTAAATGTACCTGGTGTGAGTCTGGTAATGTTTTAACCCACAATAGGTAAGACACAATAGGCAGATGCTGATTCTCAGTTGAACACGGAGCATGCAATAGAAAGCCAGTTGCCACTGAGTCTAGCTGACTCATGGAGGCCCTGTGTGTGTCAGAGTAGAACTCCTCCATAGGCCTTTCAGTGGCCGGTTTTTTTTTGGAAGTAAATCTTCAAATCTTTCTTTCAAGGAGCTTCTGGGTGGGTCAAACCTCCAACCTTCTGGTTAACAGCCAAGCACAGTAACCGTTTGCACAACCAGAAACCACCATTTAGTGTTAAGGACAGAGGGAGGGAGGGAATTACGGAGCACTCAGAGGTGAAAGTATACAGTAGGTGCTCAGTAATAACACCAGGTGCACCCAGTAGGTGTCCAGCTATGTTTGCTTTGTAACACGGTAGCTGCTTAAGACCCATTTGTTCCTCTGACCACGTGACTGTGCAGAGTCGATCATTTCAGTCCCCTCTCAGTCCACATGTGGGAACAGCCGGGTATGCCTCAGTTTCCCCAACCTGAGTGCATCACCCTCCTGCCCTCAGCCTGCTCATCACCTCGCTTGGCCACATCAAGCTGACCGACTTTGGCCTGTCCAAGATTGGGCTCATGAGCATGGCCACCAACCTCTACGAGGGTCACATTGAGAAGGACGCCCGGGAGTTCTTGGACAAGCAGGTTTGCTGGGTGGGAGGGCAGGTGGGCAGGTAGGGCAGCCCTTGGTGCATTGTGTCCCTCCTTTGACATAGCCTCAGTTTCCCTGTTCCACTGGCCTAGGTGTGCGGGACGCCCGAATATATCGCACCTGAAGTGATTTTCCGCCAGGGCTATGGGAAGCCAGTGGACTGGTGGGCCATGGGCGTTGTTCTCTACGAGTTTCTGGTGGGCTGTGTGCCCTTCTTTGGGGACACACCGGAGGAGCTATTCGGCCAGGTTGTCAGTGGTGCGTCTCCCCCCACCATCCTCCCCCCACTCCCCCACCCCCCGTGGTTCCAGATTTGAGTGTCAGGGCAGGGAGACGAGCCATGTCCCGCCTGTGGATTGGGCACCTACTACATGATGTCTGGTTTCACAATCAAGGACAAGACGGACCCATATCCCCGTTTTTGTGTCTCTCACCATTTAGTGGTAAGGACAGAGGGAGGGAGGGAATTACGGAACACTCAGAGGTGAAAAGTGTCCCGGATGGTACATATGGTTAAGTGTTTGACTACTATTGAAAGGTCAGTGGTTCATACTCGCCCATAGGTGTCTCAGGAAACACGCCTGGCCATCTGCTTCAAACAGGTTGAACCCATGAGAACCTTCTGGAGCAGTTCTACTCTGCACACATGGGTTCTGGGAGCAGCCAACAACAGATGCCAAAAGTACTGAGGAGAAACAGCAAGAGGAGGGAGGGTGCTGCACAGTGTGTGGGTAAAGGAAGGAATGAGGGGACCCCAGGGGAGAGTGAGGGGAAGACATGCTAGACAGTCAGGACAGACCAGGGTGTAGAAACTGGAAATGATAGGCAGGTCATTCTGCCCCGTCTCTTCATTTCAGATGAGATCATGTGGCCGGAAGGGGACGACGCCCTCCCAGCAGATGCCCAGGACCTTATCACTAGGCTGCTCCGACAGAGCCCCCTGGACCGTTTGGGCACTGGTATGTCAGTAGGGCCCAGGCTCTACTTGGAGACTGCACAAAAGAGAGGGCATAGAACTAGGGTTCTGAAGGCTGCATAGAAGTTCACTAATCAGGCATAGAACAGCAGAAGATCTTGAAGGAACAGTAGGTGGTTGAGCCTGGTGCACGGAGGTTGGTGAGACTGAATATGGATATTCGAAGCTGTGAGGCATCTGGATCTTGGTCCTGAGGCCCTTAAAGGCCCAGTGGATCTTGCTGTTCCAGCTCCTCCCATCACCTGTCAAGTGGTTAAGGAACTGTTTGAGACTCATGCATGCCACGAGGAGTCACATTCGTGACTGAGGTTTGATCAGGAGAAGAGGATGCTTGGGGCTGGGGTTGGCAACAGGATACGAAGGTTCATTCAGGCAGCTTCGTCTCCCAGGAACAGGAACTTGTGGAAAAGACCTGGGAAAGCCTCTAGATTTCTCCAGGTGGTAGGATCTCAGAGTTCAGTAAAGGGAAGGGGAGGGTCCTGGGAATCTGGTCAGTCTAACTTTGGGCTCCAGCTCGGTGTCTCTGTGGTCCAGGGTTCCTCTCCGGGCTTGCAAACAGCGGCTAGTTTTCCCTTCATCTTTCTAGTTCTTTCATTGGTCCAGATTTATCTCGTCACATAGCCAGTTAGCAGGCCATCTGCTGGGGGTTGAGCAGCCAGGGAAGCAGCAGGAAGAGAGGTGGTCATGGTCAGGGGGACCATGAGGCTCAGCTGGGTGTATCCACAGGTGGTACCCACGAGGTAAAGCAGCACCCCTTCTTCCGAGCCCTGGACTGGGCAGGGCTCCTTCGGCACAAGGCCGAGTTTGTGCCGCAGCTAGAAGCCGAGGATGACACCAGCTACTTTGACAGTAAGTTGGGGACCTGATGAGGGGAGATTGTGCCATCATACAGTCCTCGGGGGGCAGGACAGGGGTAACTCCATATAATCTTGGCGCCTCTCCTGAGTTTCCAATTTCCTGAGGATTTCCAGAAGCTGTGGGCACGTCTGCCACTGTTCCCTGAGCTGGGATTTCCTGTGCCTCTAGGCGGAGGAGGCCAAAGCCCTCCCTGCCAGGTTGCAGAAGCAGAAATCAAGGCACCACATGTGAAAGACCCTGGCCTGGGGTCCTCTAGTACATCAGCCTCCAGGGGCATCCCTGCTTCTGACACCAAGGGTGGAGCCTTCTTCAGGATACGCAGATGGATTTAGATGAGTTTCCCTTCCCCTACTCGAAAAATAATTTTGACTACACACAAAGTAAGGCCCTCCGTTTTCCAGGCCTTCAGAATTGGCTGTGTGACCTCAGGATTCTCTCGGACACTATTGTTTCATCTTTTGTAAAATGGGCAAAGTCTTTTTTTTTTTTTAGTTTTTATTGTGAATTGAGTAATAGTGTACATGGGAGAATATCCGTTTTATACTCATTGTTTTATTGCAATGATTAGTCTCCTCCGTGCATTGTCATTCAACAGTATTTGCTTCTGTTTTGTTTTGTTTGTTTGGGGGATGTACACAAAAACACTCAGAAATATATAATCATTTGGACAACCAAAGGGCACATTCTGCAATACTGCTTCCTGGCCGCCAGCACACAGCCTTTCTCGTTCCATGAGTCTAGAGTCCTCAGCTGCTCCATTTTTCCATGAAAATGGGCCGTGCCTTTTATATCTGAGAGAGACAGTTTCATGTAGTTCTGGGTGACCCATTTCAAGAACAAAGAAACTGAATCTCAGAGACAAGGAGCCCCTCTTGAGGTCCCACAGTTTCTACACAGATGCGAATTAATCCCAGTTTCCTGTAGTCCCTAAACACACACAACCTGGTCCCATCTCTAGGCCCTAAACATACCTAGCGTTATCCTATCTCTGGGTCCTAAACACACCTTGCCTGATCCTATCTCTGGGTCCTAAACACACCCATCCCTGTCCCATCTCTGGGCCCTAAACACACCTGGCCCTGTCCCATCTCTGGGTCTTCAGTATACCCTGCCTAATCCTATCTCTGGGCCCTACCCATCCCTATCCCACCTCTGGGCCCTAAACACACCTGACCTGGGCTCATCTCTGGGCTTGTGTGCTCCCTCCTGCAGCACGCTCGGAGCGATATCGCCACCTGGGCTCTGAAGACGATGAGACCAATGATGAAGAGTCATCCACGGAGATCCCCCAGTTCTCCTCCTGCTCCCACCGGTTCAGCAAGGTGAGGTCAGGACTCTGGACAGGATTAGCGTTTAGGAAATGGTGCCAAGTGGTATTTTCCTTTGAATTTTTTTTTTAACTTCTTATTGTGAATTGAGTGAAGGTTTACAGAGCAGATCATCAGTTTTACATTCAACAAATTATATACTTTGTTTCAGCTCAATGGTTATAATCTCCTCCATATACCATCAGTTAACAGTATTTATTTACCTCTGTGCCCTTTAACTCTTACATTTCTCCCTGTGTCCTCCCCTGCCTTCACCTTTCTTCTGCCAACCTCCCTCTTGTTGGAGAGTGCCTTCCCTGTCACCTAAGTTAACACATGTCTACCCTCTGTTGTTGTTGTTAAATGTCATTGAGTTGGTTCCAACTCATAGTGACCCTATATAGGAAGGGACTGGTGGGTTTGAATCACCAACCTTATAGATAGCAGTCCAGTGCTTATCCTATAGCACTATATGAGGACTCCTATCTACTGTCTAGCCAGTGAATTCTCTCCTACCCTGAATTTTTTTTTTTCATTGTGGTAAAATATGCATATTGTTACTGTTAATTGCTAATGAATCAGTTCTGACTCACAGCCACCCTGTATAGGGTTTCCAAGGAGTGGCTGCTGGGTTTGAACTGCCAGCCTTGTGGTAGCAGTCCAATGCTGATCCTACAGCGCCACAATAGGACTCCAAAATATGTTTGCTATTGTTACGTGCCCTCAAGTCAGTTCCTATAGCAACCCAGTATAGGGTTTCCAAGGGGCAGCTAAAATTCACCATTTTAGCCGTTTAGCACATTCATAATGTTGGGCAAACACTCCATCCCTCTGACTAGGTCTAGAACATTCTCATTACCGCAAAAGGAGACCCTGTACTCATTAGCATTCATCCTCCATTTTCCCTTCCCTCTGTCCCTTAAAAAAAAAAAAAGTTATTCCACCATAAAGAGACCTGGTATGGCACTGGACCTCAAAGTTGGTTTGAATCACAGGGTCAGCAGTTCAAGCTCACCAGCCACTTCACAGAAACCCCATACACAGTTGCTATGAGTCGGAACCAACTTGGCGGCACTAAACAACAACAAAAGAGAAATGAAGTCCTGGTGCTTAACAAGCCTTCAAAACATCTCACTGAGTGAAGTAAATCAGTTACACAAGAATGCTATTGTATGATCTCACTTACATGAAATGAGCAAGTAAACAGTAAGCAAAGGTGATTCATAGTTACTAGTGGCCTGAGTCCTGGTGTGGCACTGTAGGGTAAACACTGGATTGCTAACTGCAAAGTCAGCAGTTAAAACCCACCAGCAGCTCCTCTGAAGCCCTAGAGAGGATCGCTATAAGTTGGAACCGACCCAACGGCACATAGCAACAATAACCCTTATTTCATAGGATTTAATACCCGGGATCTGAGGGAGAAGGAAAGGAGGAGTGTGTTCTTAGGGGATGTGAGTTTATGTTAAAGGAGGCAGAATGATTTGGGAAAGGATGGTTAGAATAATTACACAGCTTGAACAGTGTAATCAATATCAAGGAATTATATGAAGGGGCTTCAGAAAGTTCATGGAAAAATGTCATTATCTTTTTTTTGTAATTTGAGTGAAAGTTTACAGGGCAGATCATCAGTTTCGCATTCAACAAATCATATACTTTGTTTCATTGCAATGATTATAATCCCCTCCAGGTACATCAGTTAACAGTATTTCTCTCTATTTAGTTTAGCTCTTTTTAAAAAAAAACAAAAAAAACACTAAGGCATATATAAGGAGCTCTGGTAGCATAGTGGTTACAAATCAGGCTGCGAACCACAAGGTCAGCAGTTCGAAACTGACAGCTGTTCCGCGGGAGAAAGATGAGGCTTTCTGCTCCCGTAGAGATTTACAGCCTCGGAAACCCTGTACAGGGTCGCTGTGGGTCGGAGCCGACTAGACAGCACTTAACAACAACAAAGGTATATGTAACCATTTAAACCACCAAAGGGCACATTCTGCAAATCTGCCTCCTGGCCACCAGCTCTCAGTTCCTCTCTTCCCATGAATCTAGAGTCCTCAGCTGCTCCCTCTCTCCAAGTCCCCACCTCTGCCTCCATCTCTGGTGTTGCTGTTTCTCTGGATAGGGTCCCACATTCCACTTGTGCTCTTCTCCCTTGATAGTCCTAAGGGTCCTCTATTCCTGGAATGTAAGATTGACTACTCCTCCGTTTTTGTTACAAAACTTCTACCTTTACAATTGTGACAGTCTCAATTAGTCATAACAATTACTCACTGTTGAGTCATAAGAATCTTATCCCCATCTCTTTTCACCAGACACTTCTAGACAAGATGAAAACTATTCAATGGGGACTTTGTCTTCCCCTGCACATTGTTAAATTAAACTCCCTCTTGAAAACTTGTAAGCCAGTCACTTTGTGCCTTTATCGCCCCCTCATCTTAGATGGTGGTGCCTAAATTGCCCATCCCTATCTAGCCTGTATACAGAGGGGATAGCATTGAATGCTTGATGTGAAGACTCCTTCCCTCTTTGTTGGTATTTTGATCTACTACACCCATGAGTATAGGTCAAGTTCTTCAAATTGTAGCAATTTATCCTTGTTACTATTATAAAAAAAAAAAAAATGTTTTTTAATCCTCTAGACAAGTTCTGATTGTCAAGCCACTGAGCTAGGTCAAATGGGTACTGTCTGCAAGTTTGTGTGTTCTTGTGCATCTCCCCTCACTTCATATCAACTGGATGCTTCACTCTCAGCTCTAACCCTCCATAGCTATGTCCTTGTCCATGGGCTCAGGTGTCCCCAGGTCTCACCACTCTTTGGACCAACCAGCCCGTCCTCTTCTCTCTCTCATCTCCAGGTCAACAGGAATCTATGGAATGTGGTTGAACTCAGCCCATTTCTTCATTGCTGCCTTTCCTCCTCTTCCACTCACCAGTAGACCAAGTTGGTTTCCAGCAAGCTTACATGTCTGCTCATGTGTTCCCTTTGAGTCTCAGTCTTAGATGGGGGCTTGTCGTGACAGGACTAATTTCATTATTTTTTATTACATCTTTCCACAAACTTTTGGGGGTGGGTAGGAATAAGAAGTGAGAATTCGGGTTGGGACTGTGGTCTAGGGCTTTGTTTAGTGCCAGGGTTTGGTCTAGGGTGAATGTTAGGGGTACGGATTGGGCTAGGACTGGAAGTAAGGCTGAGTCTAGGTTTTAGAGTTACATTGAGGTTTATTTTTACTTTTTTATGTTTTTGAAATATAGTTGGTTTTCTGTTCATTTGAAAGAGCTCTGGTAGTGTAGTGGTTACAAGTCGGTCTGCTAACCTCAGCGTTTAGAAACTACCAGCCATTCCGCGAGAGATAGATGAAGCTTTCTTCTCCTATAAAGATTAACAGCCTTGGAAACCCTATACTAAGAGTCGCTATGAGTTGGAACCAACTCCATGGCACACAACCACCAGAACCACATAACTACATTGTTCCCTTTTTACTTTAAGTTTTTGTTGTTGTTGTTGCAACTGTATCTCTGGTTCTTTATTTTTAGTCTTACATGTCTGTTTTACTTTGCTTATTTCTATATCTGGGTTGAGTCTAGGCAATATTGTCATGTATGTTAATCTCAGGTTGTTGTCTGCTATTGTTAGTCCAAAGAACTCCCTTTAGCATTTCTCCTAAAGTCAGTCTGGTTTTTACAAATTCTTTTAATTTGTCTGAAAGTGACCTAATTTTGCTGTCATATTTAATGGACAATTTTTCTGGATATATGATTCTTGGTTGGCAATTTTTTTCTTTCAGAGTTTTATATATGTTTCGTTGTCATCTTTGGGAGCACAGTGGCTCCATAGGATCAGTACTAGACTGTGAACCACAAGGTCCGCAGTTCAAGCCTGTCAACCGCTCCTTGGGAGAAAGGAGAGGCTTTCTGTTCCCTCAAAGATTTAAAGCCTCAGAAATGCTATATAGGGTCTCTATGAGTCAGAACTGACTTGACAGAACGTAACAACAGCATTGTCTTCCTACCTGCATGGTTTCTGCTGAGAAATCGTAACTTAGTCTTACTATTTCTCCTTTGTAGGTAACTTTTTTCTGGACTGCTCTCAGTATTCTGTCCTTGTCTTTAGTTTTGAAAAGTTTAATTATAACATGTCTTGGTGTTTTTCTTTTGGGGTCTGTCCTATTTGGAGTTTGTTCAACTTCTTGAATGGACTATCTTCTTGTCTTTCATGATGTTAAGGAAGTTTTATTCTAATAACTCTTATTAGAATTCTCTATAGGGGTCTTTTTTTATCTCCTCCTGTTCTGGAATTCCTGTCACACATAAGTTATTCCTCTTGAAGGTGGTGGTGATGACTGTGTGCCACAGAGTCAATTCCGACTCATAATGACCCTGTATAGGGTTTTTGAGGCTGTAAATCTTAATGGAGGTGGAAAGCCTCATCTTTCTTCCACAAAGTAGCTGGTAGATTTGAACTGCTGACCTTGCGGTTAGCATCCCAGCTCGTAATCCATTATCCTACCTGGACTCCTTATTCCTTTTGATAGTGTCCCACATAAGTTTTAGGCCTTCATTAGATTTTTGGCTCTTTTTTCTGATTGTTCCTCTGGCAGATAAATATTGAGATTTCTCTTCAAGCTCAGTAATTCGGCCCTCCATTGATTCAGTTCTATGTCTTTGCCCCTTCAGTGTATTATCTATTTCTGAAGTCTTAATGTTAATCTTCTGGCTTTCTAATTGCTGTTTTTTGTATAGTTCCCATTTTTTCAAGTATTTTGTTAGTTTGTTTCCTGAATTTTGCCATAGTTTTGTCTCCGTTTTCCTTAATTTTATCTGTAGTTTTCTCCATCTTTCACAGGCCATTGAAGTTGCCTGATAAACATTCTTTTAAGTTTCTTAGCAGGTTGTTCTGATACCATTTCTGGTGTTATGTTATCTAACTCTATACTTTGGTCACTTGTTTGAGGCACTCTGTCTTGTTTCTGTAACATAAGCTGAAATGGTCTATTTTCTCTGAGACCTTTTGGTGTCATATTTCTATTTAGATGATGATTTGTATATTGGTGTGTTCTCCTGGTGGATGTGGTAGAAACCAGTAGTGCGGACACAGTTAGTTGTCTGTTCGCTGCATAGTGTTGTTCAGCGCATGCTCCCACGCCTCCAGAAGCAATGATTCTATGATAGATGCCCGACCCCTGGCAAAGCCAAGATTGCACAAGAGAGCGTGCCACTGGCCGCTGGGTTGGCAATGGCGCACACTAGCCGCACCCGTGACCATCACCAGGAGGATACAGAAACGAGAGAACTGCAATCCCTTGCTGGCAACCTTTAGCCACGCCCTAGGCCCACAGGCAGCTGTAGCAACAGCCACTTGCAAAAACCTAAGATGGCTGCAGCACACCCGCCCACAGTCAACCTGATTTTCTTCCCTCACTGCTCCTGGTCCACTTCCTCTTCCAGCTTGCATTTAGTCCACCGCTCTGCCCTACCCTCTGATGCTCAACAATTCCAGGACCACCATCCGTAACTGTTTAATGCGGTCTCCCCTGATTCTCCAGAGGGTCGGCTCAGTGCATCTGCTTATTCCGCCATCTTGCTTCAGACTCCTCCACAAACTTTTAAGCCCCTTCATACATAGAGATATTTTCGAATTGGTGTTTGTTTTGTTGTGCACTCCCACACAAAAAAAGTTGTTGAGTCAGCCATGCGTATCACAGTAGATACTTTAAGTGGGCTCAAATTTCCAGCCTCGAGGTAAACAGCAGAATATGCTAACTGTACCACCCAGGGATGCTCCTGATCCTCTAGGTAACCACTAATCTACTTTCTCCTTGGTCTGGACATTACATATAAATGAAACCAGACACTATGTAGGGGCTTCAAGAAGTTCATGGAAAAATGGAATTAAAATATAGTGGAATTTTTCCATGATCTTTTTGAAACCCCCTGGTATCTGATCTTTGTATTTGGTATATTTCACAGAGTGTAAGGCTTTCAAGGGTCATATACATTGTAGCATATATTAGAATTTCGTTTATTTTTAGAATTGAATATTTTTGTTTATGAATCAACCATGTTTTGTTTATATGTTCATCTCTTGATAACCATTGAAGCTGTGTCTGTTTTGTGGCATTTGTAGATAGAACTGCTATGCCGACTATTATTTCATAACCTCATGAAGCTTAACCTAAATATTTCTTGTATATAAAGTGATACAAAATCCGTCCACAGGCAGGACACCTTCATCAGCAGTGGAGACTCCTTCTGTGAATCTCTTGGTTGCTAGGTCACTCTGACCCCCAGTTTCCTCAACTGCACATGAGTTATAGACTGCTCTCATTAGGGATGTGGTGAGCAAGGATTTAAGGAAATGATTCATGTGGAAGCATCTGGAATGTAGGAAGCACTTTAAGTTGTCTCTCGCACATGGGTGTGGCAGCCTGCCACCATCCTTGTGACTGTTATTTTTATTCTTTGCTTAGGTCTATAGCAGCTCTGAGTTCCTAGCTGTCCAGCCCACCCCTACTTTCGCTGAAAGGAGCTTCAGTGAGGATCGGGAAGAGGGTTGGGAACGCAACAGCGAGGGGGAGTCCAGCCGCCGGCTGAGCACTGAAATCCGGTATGTAAGCCAGGCAGTGTGGGCATATCCAGTTTCCATGACTGTTAGAAGGTACAGCCACAAAATCTGGCATTGCTAGGAGCTTCCCAGTGACCTTGTTGAAAAGGGTTAAAGGCATTAGCTAGCCTATTAGGTCATGCAGCATCTAGAAAACCTGCCTAAGAAACCATTTGCTAGTGAAGTTCCCTCTTGAAAGTGTTAAAGGGCAAAGCTGTCCGTTTAAGGACTAAGGTCGCCTGACCCAAGCCATGGTATTTTCAAATAATCTTATATGCATGTGAAAGTTGGATAGTTAATAAGGAAGACCGTAGAAGAATTGATACATTTGATATATGAAGTTGGAGGAGAATATTGCAAGTACCATGGGCTGCCAAAAGAACAAACATCTGTGTTGGAAGAAGTGCAGCCAGAGTGCTCCTTGGAAGTCAGGAGGCCAGATTTCATCTCTCATACTTTGGACATATTATCAGGAGGGACCAATCACTGGAGAAGGATATCATGTTTGGTAAACTGGAGGGTTTAAAAAAACAAGGAAGACCCCCAATGAAATGGACTGGCACAGTGGTAGCAGCAGTGGGCTCAGGCCTAGCAGTGATTGTGAGGTTGGCCTAGGACTAGGCAATGCTTCCTTCTGTTATGCATAGGGTCGCTATGAGTTGGTACCGACTCGATGGCACCTAACAACAATAACAACAAACTTCCATTCATCCTTCAAAGCCCAGACCCAACCGAAGTGATGTCTGCTGGAAGATGAACATTAGAATTGGGCTTGTAAAAGAGAAATAGTTCTATCAACAGATGTGGAGGATAATACAGGCAGAGGGAGGGAGCTCACCCTGTATTTGCAAATTTCCTCTGATGCCAGACAGAAGAGATGACAGGGTGCCTCGGAGTTTTGGTTTCTGGTGTCTGACACTTACATGGGCCCTTCCTTGCAGCCTTCGGTCCTGGACGTCTTCTGGCTCCTCCTGCCTCTCATCCTTATCCCAGCCTGAGCGAGGCCCCAGCCCGTCTCTCCTCAGCACCATCAGCCTGGACACCATGCCCAAGTTTGCCTTCTCATCCGAGGATGAAGCTGCAGGCCCAGCCTCTGTGGGTGCTGAGAGGCCCATCTTCATTCTTGGGGAGCCTGACCCGCCTCCAGCAGCCACTCCAGTGATGCCCAAGGCTTCAGGCCTTTCTGGTAAGGGGGAATCAGGTTGGGAGAAGTGGCAGAAAAGCATCCCAGATGAGAAGCTATTTGAGATGGGTTTTCAAGGATGAGTAGGAGTTCACTGTAAAGACCTTTTACTTGTCTAACAGTTCCCAGCCTGTTCCCTCAAGGAACCCCAAAATTCAGACATCTCTTGGTCAGGACAGGACTTGAAGGAGGAGGGATAAGGCTGGGGAGCCTAGAAAGTAGACTTTCTAAAGTGGAGGGAAGGCTTTCTGGAGGAGGGGCTATTTCATACAGAATTTTTTTTAGGATGAGTAAGAGGACCTCTGGTAGCGTAGTGGCTACGAATCGGGCTGTGAACCTCAGGGTCAGCAGTTCGAAACTACCAGCTGTTCCATGGGAGAAAGATGAAGTGTTCTGCTTCCTTAAAGGTTTACAGCCTTGGAAACCCTGTATACGGTCACTATGAGTCCGAACCGACTCCACAGCACATTACAACAGCAACAATAATTCACCTGCCTTGGCTAGAAAAGGAGCTCTGGTAGCTTAGTGGTTACGAATCGGGCTGCTAACGTCATGGTTAGCAGTTCGAAACTACCAGAGGTTCCACGGGAGAAAGATGAGGCTTTCTGCTCCCATAAAGATTTACAGCCTCAGAAACCCTGTACAGTGTCGCTATGAGTCAGAACCGACTCCACAGCACACAACAACAACAGCAATAGTTCACCTGAGACCCCTTTCACTTGTCTGGTTAGTTATGTGCCATGGAGTCGGTTCCGACTCATAGTGACCTTGCACGGGAGCAGAATGCCTCATCTTTCTCCTGCGGAACCACTGGTAGTTTTGAACTGCTGATCCTGAGGTTAGCATCCTGATTCGTAATCACTACGCTACCAGAGCACCTTTTCTAGCCAAGGCTTTAATACAGGAAAGCTAGGGCCCCAATTCCATAGGGTCAGAACAGGAATATAGGGAAGATGGGGCTGGGGACCCCAGAGAAGGGGCATTGTGCTCTGTCTCAGGTTGGGCGAAGGCTTTCTGGAGGAGGGCACTTGAAGAGGGAGCTTTCCAGAGAGAAGAATGCAGGAAGAGGGAACTGTATGAGCAGAAGCTAGCATGTGGAACTACACATGCCAAACAGGGAGGGAAGGAGTTTGGGCCCCTGAGGATGGAGCCAGCAAGTGGTGAGACTGACCCAGGCTCACCCCTAACCCCACTGCCTACTCCCCAGCCGACACAGCTGCTCTCAGCCACGCCCGTCTACGCAGCAACAGCATCGGGGCCCGACACTCCACACCCCGCGCCCTGGACTCTGGACGGGGCCGCCGCCTCGGAGGCCCTAGAGACCCAGGCCCTGAGAAGCCCAGGGCCTCCCCTAGTGGGGGCCGCGTGCCCAAATCAGCCTCAGTGTCTGCCCTGTCACTCATCATCACGGCAGGTAAGGCCTAAGCTTTCCTTCACCATCCACCGGCAGATAGAATCTGACCATTGGTATCTCTTCCTGTGGTCACTGGTGGTGTGGGGGCTGTTTGGGCCTGGTAAGGTGGCATTGAGACTGAGCCCTGGGAGAGATGGGGAGGAGTCAGGGACCCAGGCAGGTACAATGGCCCTGAAGTAGCACTGTGCTGGGTATTACAGCAGCAAAGTGGTGGGAAGTGAGGGAACCCCATTAGGGGCCTGCAAGGGAGTGACCCCTCATCCCTGCAGATGATGGCAGCAGCGGTGGCCCCCTCATGAGCCCCTTGTCCCCACGCTCGCTGTCCTCGAACCCGTCCTCCCGTGACTCCTCGCCAAGCCGCGACCCGTCCCCCGTGTGTGGCAGCCTGCGGCCCCCCATCGTCATCCACAGCTCTGGCAAAAAGTATGGCTTTAGCCTGCGAGCCATTCGTGTCTACATGGGTGACAGTGACGTCTATACTGTGCACCACGTGGTCTGGGTGAGTTCCTTTGAGGGCCCTGTGGGCAGGGCTCAGTGGGCACAGTATAACTGGGTTCCAGTCAAAAATGCCTTTGGTCTCTGAGCCATGGGAATACCCTCCCCTTGGAAATTGAGTGACTGTTCATTACCTGCGGGGTGTTAGGGCCTAGGGTGGGGTCCCTGCTAGTTAAGGTGAAGGGATCCCTGAGTGGTCATGTAATCTGACCTGCCATGGCACATTGTCCTCCTTGTCCTGAGCCCTGGGGCCCTAGCCCTTCACCATGTTCACTTGATGAACAGCCTTCCAGGGTGAGGGAAACTGAGGCAACTCAAGATAGCAGCTTGCTGGGGTCCCACAGCTGGCCTAGGGTCTTGGTGGTAATACTCAAGCCTGCTGACTTTGTCTTGACCACCCCCCAGAGTGTGGAGGAGGGCAGCCCCGCCCAGGAAGCGGGCCTACGAGCAGGGGACCTGGTCACCCACATCAATGGGGAATCGGTGCTGGGGCTGGTGCACATGGACGTGGTGGAGCTGCTGCTGAAGGTGCCCCCCCTTTGTCCTCGGGGCCCAGGATGCTCAGCACCCCATACCTCAGTCCCTAAGACCCCTACCCTTGGGGCCCCAGGACCCCTAACATCTTCCTCTTTTACCTGTTCTCAGGGTTCACACGCCTAACACCTCCCCTAACCCAGGGATCTGGGAACCCCCACCACTGCCCACCCAGGCCCCTAACATCCTCTTCACCCTTAGCAGCTCTCCAGCCCACTGACCACTCTTGAGACTCCTGGAACTCCCTAACACCACTCACCCTCAGAGCTTCTTGAACCCCCCCACTGCTCACCTTTGGGGGATCCCAAGAATCCCTAGCCTGCTCCCCCTGAGGGCCCCTCCCCAACTTCAGCTTCTGGTTCTCCCCTACCACCCAGATCACCCAGTGGTCCACACTGGACTCTATCTCCAGACTTGGCCTGCCCCTTCCGCCAGGATGGACCCCCTTTAGCCTCTAACATTGCCCCTCCAAGCCAGGCTGCATGGCCCCTGCTCCAAAATGCCCCACCCCAACCCTCCTCTGCCCACCCTTACTCACAAAGCAGAGGGTATCCATTGCTACCTTTGACAACAATGCTGAGCTTTGGGTGGGGTTGGGGTAATCTTGGGAGATGTATAGGATATTGGGTGATGGATCTGGGAGGGGAGTGGGAGGTGAGCGTCAGTGAGTGGTGGATTCACTTGTTGGGTAGTTCATTCATTAGCGGGTAGGTGACCAATCCTGGCTGGTGGCAGGACTGAAGGGACTTGTAGGGGATCCTCCTCGGGTGGGAGGCATACAGGTGATCCCTAACAGCCCCGGCCATTCCTCAACAGAGCGGCAGCAAGATCGCGCTGAGGACCACAGCCCTGGAGAACACATCCATTAAGGTGGGGCCTGCCCGCAAGAATGTGGCCAAGGGCCGCATGGCCCGGCGGAGTAAGCGCAGCCGCAGAAGGGAGACACAGGACCGGTGAGTAGTTTGGGCAGGGAGCTCTGGTGAGGGACCTCAGTGTGGTCAAGTTCATGGGCCCTGGCAGGGAAGGACCCATGGCAGGTCACAGGCAGGAGGAGCGCAACTGTTCCCCTTTCTGACTCTGGGTTTTCTTGCCTGTCCCCAGGCGGAAATCGCTCTTCAAGAAGATCTCGAAGCAGTCCTCAGTGCTACATACCAGCCGCAGCTTCTCCTCTGGCCTCCACCACTCCCTATCTTCCAGCGAGAGCCTCCCAGGCTCACCCACTCACAGTCTGTCCCCAAGCCCCACTACACCCTGCCGCAGCCCAGCTCCCGACGCCCCCGCAGGTGGGTGTGTGCTTCGGGACCCCCTTGGGAAGAAGGACTGAGAGAGGGAAAAAAGGAATGAGCATAGAGTTAAAGCTTAGAAAGTACGAAACTAGAGGTCTGGAAGGGCCCTGCCCATCTCCTGGAGTCAGGGGGGGACAGGGAACAGTGTGCCCAGCAAAAGGGAACATCATCTGCAAAGAAGACTAGGTGGGGTGCTGGTGTGGGGGTTGAGAGATCAATTGTGCAGGGCTTCCAGCCCTGTGCTAACAAGCTGGGCTTCAATTAGAGGTTTGATAGGAAGCCATGGGGTGGGGGTGGGGGTGGGGTGAGCTAAGGAGGGCATGGTGTTGGAAAGATTATTCTGGGGCAGTAAAGGAGGAGGCCCTGAGGAGACAAAACCAGACACAGACTCCCCTAGCCTGTGTGGACACAGGAAATTCAGAGGGGAGGCAGAGAACACTTCCTGGAGGAGCTGAGACACTGATGAATGAATAGACGTTCATTAGACCCAGGCAAAGGAAACAGCCTTTGCAAATGGCAGGAGGCAGGAAAATTTTGCCAGATGTGGTCAGTCCTGGGGCCTGAACTCCGGGCGGGCTAGAGACATTGAAGTGAGTAGCCCTGACCTACATCTGTCACCCACAGACACAGCATCCCCACCCAGCGCATCTCCGAGCTCCAGCAGCCCAGCCTCTCCAGCCGCGGCCGGTCATGCCCGTCCCAGCTCCCTGCATGGGCTGGCTGCCAAGCTTGGGCCTCCCCGTCCCAAAGCTGGTCGACGAAAGTCCACCAGCAGTATCCCACCCTCCCCGCTGGCCTGCCCGCCTGTTCCTGCACCCCCACCCCGCTCGCCCTCACCCTTGCCTGGGCACCCACCCACACCTGCCCGCTCCCCACGCCTGCGCCGAGGTCAGTCAGCCGACAAGCTGGGCACAGGTGACCGGCTAGACGGAGAGCCAGGGCGCCGTGGTCGCGGGCCAGATGCGGAGTTGGTGGTCATGCGGAGGTTACACCTATCGGAGCGCCGGGACTCCTTCAAGAAGCAGGAGGCGGTGCAGGAGGTGAGCTTTGACGAGCCTTCAGAGGAGGCCACTGGGCCGCCCACCTCAGTGCCGCAGATTGCTGTGGAGGGCGCTGAGGCCATGCCAGGAGCCTCCGGGCCTGCAGGCAAGGACTGACGCCTCCCACTCCAGCTTCTCCTGGTCTCGGAGCAGTGTGGTTTTTTGTTCAATGTCTTTCCAGTAAAGTGACACCCGGATGAAGACTGAGCCCCCAGCCTGAGGTACCCTGAAGGCAAGATGGCCTCTTGGTCCTTGCTGGAAAGTGGAGGTGACACTTCATGGTCTGGTGCCAATCGGAGCCATAGAAGCAGGAAAGGGGGCGAAGATAGCGTTGTACATAGCAGCACATTCCTGTGGTTAATTTATTACTTTTTATAAGCAGTTACCAGACTGAGCTGTCCCTGTGTGGGCAGCTGCTCTGGCCCTGGCCCTGCCCCTGCCCCTGCCCCTGCCCCTTGCATCTGGGACCCTGTTTGCAGACCCTGCCTCCTGGGATGAGAAGGAAGCACTTTGGACAAGTCATGTGTGTTTGTGTATTTCGGTTTTAAAAACATATTTTAATAAATGTTTGCGTGTATTCCCTGGTCCTTCCCCTACCCAAGACTCACTGATTGGAGACGAGCCAGCTGAGCTTACCTGTCTGGACCCAGGTAGGATATAGCCTGGAAAGTTCATAAATACTTCCCGTTCCCTATAAAACAACATCATCTTGATGAACTGGATTCTGAAAGCTACTTCCCACTCCCTGCTGAAGTTGACTTCCAGTTCCTACGGCGTGGGAACTAGGGCTTTGATGGATGAGTAGGAGTTCATCAAATCCAGACAGAGGGGTCACCCACTGCACAAGGCACTGCCAAAGTAGGAGAAGAATGTCCACCCAGCACAAGTGCCCATGTGTTTGAGGCCCACCGAGGTGAGCCCTCGACTGTACGTTGTCTGGAGCACAGCGAGGGGGTTGCCTTAATTCAGCATCTCCTGAGAATGAAGCTCGAGTAAGAAACCTGAACTGGGAGACAGCAAGGCCTCCGTGTGAATCTCAGCTGTTCTGTGTGGCTCAGGAAAAGCAGCTTTCCTACTCTGTGCCTCAGTTTCCTTGTGTTTACAAGACTAATACCAACGACTATTTATTAAGCACCTACTTTGTGTCAAGCACTTATTCTCGTGGCTTCTCCCTTCCTCAGCCAGCCTTCAGAAGGCTGGAGGTGGTGGCATCATCCCCATGTGACAGACAAGATAGCTAAGGCCTGGCACAGGGCGGGGACTTGTCCCAAGATGGCCTGGTGAGTTGCAGCCTAAGGGAGCAGTATTCTGACCCTGTTTGGGCATTGTCGTCGAAGGAGCTTGAGTGGAGGGTCTGGTTGATACACCAGACTCCAGCCCTGACTCTGCTTGATGATGCGGTATGATCCAGGAAGGATTGCTTGCCATCTCAGGGCCTCCATTTCCCCACTTGGAGGCAGCTGGTGACATAGCTGTGCCCCGTGGTGAGGGCAGTCTCTAGACACTGCAACCCCCTCAGTGTCCCCGTCCTCAGCCCAGCGCTGTCACTGTTGGAGGAAGACCAAGGCTGTGCATGACTTGCCCCCTCTTTCTTTCCTGGAGATGGTGGTGAATAAAAGCCCACATTTACAAGAGGAGGCCTAATGTCTTGGTTTGTGAGGGTCTGAGAAGGGAGAGGGTGGGATGTGAACAGTTTCTTGGCTTAGCACAATAGGCTAAGAGCCTGTCACCCCTCAGTTCTAGCCCTCTCATTTATGTAGCAAAACATCAAGATGCTTCCTGTTGGTTCATTTTAAGTAAGTTTTGAAGGCTACATAGATCACCATTGAGATGTTCCCTGGTACCTTCTCTGGTCCTGGACACGCTTCTGCCTTTGAAAGACTTCATCCAAACATCCCCCTAGGACCCTGAATTGTGTTTATAAAATAAATATTAATCCAGTCCAGTCCAGCCCAAGCACTCAAACCCCACCCTATCCCCACTCTTGGCGGAAACAATCGGGTGCTTCTAGCACATTTGAGGTCAGAGGTCATTAGGCTGTTTCCTGATGTCTTCAGCTGCCATGGCAACGCCTTCAAACCTGCTCCTTCTCAGACGTGTTTGTTCTGCTATTTCTAGAAAACTTGTCAGGGAGGGACCCTTCCAAATTCCTGTTCCCTGTGCTTGGGGCGTCTTGTGCGCCCTTGAGCCAGCCCACCCACAGCATTACATCCATTCTGACTCATACTGAACCTGTATATAGTTTACACAACTAAATCTTTATGGGAGCAGACAGCCTCATTTCTCCCCTGATGGATTTGAACCAGTCTTGTGGTTTGCACCCTACAGTGCAGTGAATTTTTTAATATGATTCTTCTCTCCTTAATCTTTGTAACTCCCACCAAACGACTTTTTTCCTGATGGGGTTGGTTAAGGTGGGGAGGATGTTGAAAGGATCATATGATTGTGAGTGACTGTTAATGTATTTCACTGTAATGACTTGGAACTTAATGTGGGCACAAAATAAACTCTCAGAAACAGGAGAAGGCATGTCACTACCACAAGAAAAAAAGAGTCAGGAGTGGGTGTGTCCTTAGGACCCCAAGGTTCCTGCACATTGAATCTCCTTGATGCAGGGACAGACAGCTAATGGTGGAGGAGTTAGGGGAGCAGCAGCAGCAGAATTGGGAGCCAGCATCCCAGACAGAGTGGGGGACTTGCCAGCCCACAGAGCGAGTACAGCTGAGTGGCTTTAGGCAGGAAGCTTGTGGAGTGGGGTGTCGCCAGTCAATTGAGGAAGCTGTATTAGTGACCATGGAGCTGGAACCAAGTGCCTTTGGGGTGAGGCTTGTCACCGAATGGAGTGCCTTTGGGCATTCATCAGCAGCCCCAAAAGAAATTTGTACCATAGAGAGGCCTACCTGCAGGCAAGGCTAAGGAGACGCTGCCCTGACTGGAAGAACTGCATTTCTGACCCTGAATTGCAACCTAGTAATGTCCCTAATAACCTGCAGAACTGTGAGGATGGTGTCTGAGTTCTGTGTGGCCGTTGCAGTGAATCAGAATGAACCCAGCTGAGGAGAGAGTGCTGTGAGAGGGATGGTTGGTACCATTTGTGAAGTTGGCATCAGGAGTAGGATTTGTTGCAATGGCTCCAGACTCATAAAAGTATTGCACTTTGTAAGAGAAAGGACAAAGGGATACGGCAAGTGAAACTTGCTTCTTAGATGGTTACTTTAGTTATTGGTACCTGTAATGGAAATGAGTGAGTGATGCTATACAGCAGCTGAGGAGAGAAAAGTCGATGCTGGAGTCACCTGGGGTAAAAGCCAGGCTGATTAAACAAGATGACTGCTGGGAACCAGAGTGTACTGATCCACCATGCCAGCCAGAGGCCTATATGCACCTGTGATGGAATGGTTATTGGCTATCCTATTAACAGACAATTTGTAAGCCTGCTTTCAGCCTGTACTTGATTGGACATGCTGAAAGGGGAATTTGAAATTTCCCAGAAGAAAGACGTTTTTTGTAAGCCCTTGTAGAGAATGGGACGTAGGTGGAAACCTGAGCCCCAAACAGAATCACTGAGAGAACAGGTGATTTACCTGTGAAAAACAGACCTGCAGAAAGAAAAAAATCAAGATTGGCTTTTATGAATTTCTAGCAAACAGTTTGCTGTTGGATGCATTGAGGCAGGAAAAGTCTGTGCATATCAGAGAAAATGCCATTCTAGGATTGAAAGTTAAAGGGTGCCAAGTGAACACACAGCCTGGTAAGCTCACTGGTGACTTCTTGGGTGTGGTTGATGAGGAAAAATGGTGGAGAATGCTGCAATGAAGTAAAAAGAGAGGAAGGTATGGCTGGTCTGAAGTTAGAGGAAGTGTGGATCCAAGCCTATGGATACTGACCTAGCCCATGGAGACTGGGGCTGGAGAAAAGGGATCAGCTGATCTGAAGTGCAGGTGTTACGCATTTAACCTCTCTAGGATGGTTAGGGCTGAATTAGCCAGAACCAGACTGAATGAGGAGAGATGCTTGATACCGTGAAGTTGCTACGATTTTGATGGCTTGCTCTGGACTGGACTTTGCTTATAAATGCAGTTGCCCAAAGTTCCAACAGGAACCGAAGATTCTTCACACCTAAGAACATGCTTGTTTCTTCAGAGTACCAGATTAATTTGTTGTTGTTGTTGTTGTTATGTGCCATGGAGTCGATTCCGGCTCATAGCAACCCTGTACAGGGTTTCCGAGCCTGTAAGTCTTTACGGGAGCAGAAAGCCTCCTCTTTCTTGTTTGGAACAGCTGGTAGTTTCGAACTGCTGACCATGAGATTTAGCAACCCGATTAATAACCACTACGCTACTGGATTAATAGGGACAGGTAATTTAAAAATTGGATTGTCTAAAATGGGGTGAGAGGCACAAAGTGACTGGTTTACAAGCTTTCATGGGTGTGCTTACAGTTAAAATGTTTGTAATAGGAAAGTAAATCCATGTCTGGAAGGGCAAATGGCTAAAAGAGGCAGGGGGCAGCCTGCAGTGCAAATAGTTAATTATTTAGTATGGCTCTTCTAACCATAGTCTTGTAACTGCCACCAAACAACTTTTTCCCTGATGGGGCTGGATGAGAGAAGGTAGGGGAGGATGCTGAAAGGATTATGTGGTTGTGAGAGATTGTTAACAGAGTTTACGGTAAAGACTTGTAACAATATGGGCATAAAATAAGCTCGCTCAGAAGCAGAAAGCATGCCGCTACCACAAGAGAGAAGAGCCAGGAGTGGGTGTGTCCTTTGGACAGCTAATGGTGGAGGAGTTAGCAGGGGAATGGCAGCGGCAGAACAGAGCCAGAGGCCCAGACCGAGTGGTGGACTTGCTTGCTCACAGAGCCACTAAAGCTGAGGGCTTTTGCCAGAAGGCTCGTTATGGAGTAGGGTGTCTCCAGTCACTTAATTGGGGGAGCTAGGTTTATTTATTCATAGAGCTTGAGTGCCTTTGGGGTGAGGCTTATCACAGAATGGAGTGCCTTTGGGCATTTATCAGCAACCCTAAAATAATTTTGTAGCATAGAAAGGCTGTCCTGACCGGAAGTACTGTGCCCTGAGCATTTCTGACCCTGAATTGTAAGCTGGTAACATTCCC